GCACAGAGCGCGGCCAGCTCGGCGGGCACGCTGGCCACCAACCGCTGGCAAAGGCGCCACACGGCGAGGTAGGAAAGCATGGCCATACAACGAGCAGAGACGATCGACACTACAAGTACGAAAGGTGTACTCGGCAAGAAATCCTGGCTAAAACCAGGCAAAGTCTGCGCAGCGCCCACTGATAGCGCTACCAGTAATCAAACGGACCGGCATATTTCAAGCATGTGCATAGCCGGACGGAGTTCATTCCAATTCTCACCCCAACACAGCAACTGGAAACATGTTGCTTCTTGCCACGCTTCACGCGCCTCGATCGCTTCGGTTACGTCAGTTCACACACAACACCATCCAGCAGCAGCCCAGTCCCGTCTGCGCACACCAGCGGATCCTTGAGAACGGTGAACACGCACCTATACCCACACATGCGCACCCGCGCCTGGGGTGTGCATGCTGTCAATGGCAGGCACGCCTGTGGCCACCGCGAGTCGAGGCATCGACCGCCACCAGTGTTATGCGCGCGCCGTCGCCGCGGCCGCGCCTGGTATTACCTGTCGACGGGCGTCGACACACCGTGCAGCTCACGTAGCGCATGCAACACCATGTCGATCTTGGCACGCACTGCCACCGCATTCTGTCCCAGCAGCTGCGCCTGGCGCTCCAGCGCCTCCACCCGCTGCGCTATAAACTTGAGCGCCTCCGTGTGGGTCATCTCCAAGTAGAAGCCGAATCCGATACGCACGAAAATGCGCGATGGATCATCGCTGCGGCACAGGTCACATCGTTTCAGTTTGCTGTCAGTCATTTTGTCGTCGCTCACAAAATGTGACGGCCGACGGCTTGTCAACGCGCGACATAAAAATAGGATCAGCAGTAATCGGATGACCTCACAGAAATAAATTCGGATCACGTAGGCCGCCCATCATGTCCACGTCCATCCAACATCTCATCCCAATGGAACAGGACATGTTCTTGCAAAATGTGCACTCCCGCAAGTTGTGGGATAAAACATCAACATGCGCTCGTGTAGGGAGTTAAATTGACCCTCCGAAGGTTTTTCCGGAATGGCTTCCGAACGGCGTGACGAGGCCGCGGCAAATTCTGCACACCTGCATACAATTGAATAGCGGATCACTTGGTATCAACAATTTAGGTGTATCTTGCAAAGGTCGCTGACCTATGACAGGCCAAAGCTAGGCCATGGTTTCAGCGAAGTCAATTTCCAAGGAATCGTTCAATCTGACGCAACAACGGAGTGTTAGACGAGGCCATACATCTCTGAGATGTCTTCTTAGGCAACACAAATATGGAATGAGCAAATTACGGTGATCTAAGGTCAGGTATGAAAGTCAGGCCAAGGTCAAAACCAACATGTTTTATTACTCCAGGGATTGCTTTATGCGATAGTTTCTGGTGCTCATTTCGAATTCATTGATGGGAGGAGCCGCATCATACAGCTGTCATGGACTTCTTGGAGGTCAGAATAGGCCACTGACTCACAATAGCCCACGCCAACATTTTGTTTTTAGAAACATACTGCCTAGCGTAATTTTGTCACTTATTCAAATGCAAAACTTAGAACAGTCCGGTATGATCTTGCTGACTTTATCAGAGCAGAGAGGAACACATTCCTGGCTCTCTGTCAGCACCGCATGGGGGCTGGTCTAGACTGACTGTGCGACTCGAAGTGCGTCAACCCCTTGGTCGCCGGAGCCCGTCGAGTATAACAAGCGAGCAGCCTATGCTGTGCGGCGCTGTTCTGGGCCGAAGAGAGCCACCCGCATTAGCGCCCAATCGACAGCAGTATCTCCCGCCGCCCTACCACTACTACCGCAGGACGGAGGGCGTATGGCGTCTGGTCGATCACCCAAGGCGCCCAGAACCGCTGAGCACGGCTACGGCACCGCAGATGGCCGTGTGTTTTGCGCAGGTGTGGTGTCTCCGGGGAGGCGAGTGCCCGCCCGCTCGAAATTACAGCACTCTTGACCTGTCGCGAAGCGGCGGCCGACAGCCGGGTGTTCCGTCTCACATATGACGCTTGGAGGTCTCATGAGCGCATCGGCTGCTGAGGCCATAGAAGCTTCAATTTACCAATGCTGTACTTTGATACCGACATACGAAGAATATGCTGCCAGTTCCGGACAGAGTATCATTAACATCATGATAATGATGATGCCATTGATAGGTATAGACTATAAGCAAAGGCAACGGCGGGCTTTCATCTTTGGTTTGATTTTCACAACTTTCCAGACTTGTGATCCAGCTCCAGTCTGAGCCTAGATGTGCGAGGCGCCGCTTGCGAACAGCATGGCCTGGGCTGGTTATGGTGACTCGTCGCAATGCACCTTTGATTCGTACGTTTAGCATTCCAGTAGGAATACTAATTGATTCTACCCGGCTAATTCATTCAACAAGTGCATCACAACATTTGCTTAAAATACACACTTAATAGTACTGCTCCAAGTGCATGGCCTGGGCTGGTTATGGTGACTCATCGCAATGCAACCTTGATTTGTACGTTTTAACATCGAGGTAGGAATGCTAACTGATTCTACCCAGCCAATTCATTCTCCTAAGAGCATCATATAATGTCCTTAAAACACGCACTTAATAGTCCTGCTCCAACTGCAGTATCATATTTGTCGAACATGTTCCAAGGGAAATGAGGAAGAACAATGAGAACAAACGTGACATTAGCATTTACATCACAATGAGTCATTACCACCGAAGCAGGTGTCCAACTCACCAGGTAAAACGCCACAAAAGGCATGATCGTGGCACCAGTCCGGCCCGCGAATTTCAGCTGCGCAACAAATAGTTACAATCATATGAAGCGTCTGTTGTTGAGCCAGTGCAGTGAAACCGAAACAGGAACTTACATTTTTGCTGAACAGTAGAAGTTGCATCCCAAATCGACCTTTGTTTTCAGGGGCTTCTTGTCCACCTGAGCCTTTTGCAGAGTGTTGATAGTATTCCTCAGCTCGAGGTGGTGGGCAATGTTTTCATAAACTCCATCCCGCCGGTCCAGCAGCTTCCTAAAAGAACGGAGGTGGACTTCTGTTAAACTTGTACGGCGCCCCAAAACATATGTTAGGTAAATATCAAGTGTGAATTACGGGCTGCTTTGCTGGGTGTATATGCTAAACATTGTTTAAATTATTGAAAAATCCAATCTTTGTAATTGCTTCTTTACTTCGCCTTATGTTTTCATTACAAGGGTACTTCATTATGTCTTTGTCCATTACAGTTGCCAGGAACATTACACACGCATAAGACAGCGATGAAAGCTTTATTCCTCGTCGAATAAGGAGGAAAGATGGAGATGGGAAAGAGGGTGAAGGAGAGAATAATTCATCTTTCGGCAACAAAACCTTTGCGAAAATGATTATTAGCAGTAAATTACAACTTGACTGCCTATCCTGCTAATTCTTCAAGCTGTGTTTGCACAGCGAGCCACAGTTCAAAAGGTTCCCAAAATTCAGGGGATTACGCAAGGAACACTTGCCAGCGATTATTACGATAGTGTGTATCTAACAAAGGATGAAACTATATGCCTACGTGCAAACGAATCCAATTAAGCAGAGATCACGTACACGTGCAAACGATGCCAAGTAAGCACGTACCACTTAAATATGCAAATGATTTCAGGCTAAAAACACGCCAGTTTAAATTTCGCATCACTTTGGGGTACCGTCTCGGACATACGAGTATGCAAAGCTGAAAATATGCGATTGTCAGGAAAATTTGACACATGATCCGACCTCGTGGGGTCAGTTTACTTAAAACTTAATATCAATCGCGAGTTCCAGCTGATATCAATCTACCGTTTCGTTGGCGATGCCCTGTACTTACTTTGGAAACGCCAGAGGGGTGATCCCACCACTTCAACCCCTCCCCCCCCCCTCCCACATCTACTACCTCAAGCCCCCGCATTACTGCATTCTGGGCAGGCGACACCGTGACGTTATCATGAGACTAAATCATATGGCACAAACGTTACGGCGGCGAGAAAACACTATTCCTTGCAGGCCGGTTCAAATACGAATGTTTCGATAAACCGAATTTTTTTCAACGCAGTACATTCAATGAAGCACTTTCAGACGGGAAATGGCGTTGGTTTGCACCAGAGCTACACAGTTATTGCTGAAATGCGGTTTCAGCATGCACTCGACGGCGAGATGGGGTAACCTATTTATCAGTGATGTATTCCAGAGAATTCTAGCCAGAAGTGCTTAGAAACAGCCTGTGTGAGAGTACGACAGACAACAACATAGGGTGGAGATGAGAAGCTGTGTCCCAGACGGGCTTTGAGTACCTTGGGATACGCATTGAGAAATTTGGAATGCACATCCTGTAGCCTTAGGAGGGGCGTTGCCAGGGTGGATGCATGGTTGGCATGCCCTAATGGGGGGCAGGGAGGGGTGAAGCCCGGGAGGCGTTATTATACAGCGCGTATTATTTCAGTTCAAGATGTCGGATTTCCTGTAAAATGGGACGATTTCTGGCAAGTTTTGCAATTTCTGCCAAAGAGTGCTGCTCCATATCCCAGCTGGGAAATAGTCTTGAGGGATATACAAGGGTAGTCGGGGTATTATTCCCTGCGTACCTTTTTCACCTAACCCGTCAGACTTAACGGATCAGCAAGTTAGCCAACGACTAGGACGGTCAAAGTAAAGTAACACAGAAATTCGGGCACCTGACCTCCTTACACTACCTAATTCATATTTCATTCAATATGGGTACTGCAGTAAGACGATAAATGGTCAAGTATTGCCAATTCATAAATTTATGTAAATATTACACATGATATCCATTCATTTACAAGTAAATATTCATTTCACAAAGAACTATTGCATATAAATGTTCAGGTACGTCGACTACAACGAACGTGGCGCAAGTACTGGACCTAAACAACGTGGCTTAGCGTTGCACTGGCGTAAGCTCGATGATATTACCCTGAAATCAACGGGTAAGGAGATAAGGATATGTATCAAATGTCTATGGCTGACGTCACTTGATGAAAGCATAGTTATTGCATGCGTGCACACAAATCCTTATATGAAGAGCTCAACCTTCAAAATTTCATATCAAACCCATGGCAATGATAGGTAAAAGGCTGTTTTTAGGTTTAGGTTTTGGGTTGTTTTTAAATATATAAAGCTGATTTAACCACTTGAAAAATACGCCTCCCGATACGTCATCACGTCATCGATTAATTGCGTAATGGAACATCTTTCAAACGTCAGTCACTGCCACTCTGGCCGTGTCAGCACTGCCACTGCAGCGGATGGGCTGACTCGCTTTTAGTACACCAAATTTCCGAGAGGTGACGGTGTGTTAGTGGAGCATGCTGGCGAAAGCGAATGTCGTTGAATACGAATAAATCTTGGCTGAAAGAATCTGTGAAAAACACTAATCTGACGGGCACTGACGGGCATCAGACAGAATACACATCGTGTCACCAGTGATCTGTGACGTCAGCAATAATAACGCACATAATATAGTATATTTATGTCGCCTGCTAGTACATTTGAGAGCATTTGGTGACTCAACTTGCTCATACGGTAAACCATTATCAATGTTCCAGCATGTACTCTACGCAAGCTCACGCCGCAAGCGTTGGCGAGTACAGAGCAACAGTAAATTTTGAACGTCGTCTAACTGGGATGGTCTGTTATGATTTGTCTCCATGTTCGCGATTTCGTCCCAAATTAGCTAGCAAAAGGCAGGTACCCCGATATAAGACGGCTACATGTGACTGAGGATGTATACATACGCGACGTGGACCCATCTAACGGACACGTCAATGCGCGGGGAACCTTAGCCCTCCACGAAGCATGCATCAAGTGTGCGTGCAAAATGAAGAATTATGCTGATGTCTCGTATTTTGCCTCAAAGCTACGGTGTGTAGATTTAACTATTCCGTAATTTTATCCGTTAATCACAAGTCAGAGTGGTTGTGGACGAAACGTAAGAAACGAGATAGGAATGCGATTCACTTGGACTGCTCTCGAATGAGTTTTGCTTCCGTTCTTAGCACAGTCCAGAAAGCAAGCGCGCAAAGTTGAAGGTGCATCTCGGTAAATAACAAATAACGCAGGCGCTGATATTTTCAACAACCACTCTTTACATATATGTATATATGTATATATATATATATATATATATATATATATATATATATATATATATATGTATGAAAACCTGATCATTTTTGAAGATTTCAGTAGCTTGCAAATACCCCAACTGAAAACACATGGAAAAGGTGTAAATCTAAATAATAATTTTTTGGATTCATTGTAACCACAACGCTCACACCCCAACAAGCAAAAAGCGGCAGTCTTGTCGTACAGCACCGGAGCACAGAACTACTCCGTCCGGAAAAAAGGATTCATTTATCAACCGTGGAATGTATGGACAGTAGACATCATGAGGGAGCGAACATGTACCACAACCAAGTATCAACTTATGTTGCCTGGCAACACAAGAATATATGTGTGCCTAAAGCTCAGTGGGGAACAGATCAGGCTGCCGCTACCTTTCGCCAATTAAGGAAATCTCCCGTGAAAAAGTTACTATTCGGCTGTCTCCCAGATAGCGAGCCGAGGAAATGTCAGCTTACCCGAGGACGCCAAATTGCTTTGTGCCTAGGCCACATCCGACCGCCGCCACGGAACCCCGCTCGATGACAACGGCGATAGGTCGTAGGCGTACCGGCTCCGTCCCGATAACGCCGATAAGCTGGCAATGATACGCTATCAGCCCTTGGGAGGGTAATAGGCGAAATCAGGGTGGATAAAGGTGCCGGTGATTCTGACGGCTCCATACTGACGGACGTGAAGATAGGACTGGCTGTCGGTCAAGAGGCAATGACCGTTACAAGACACGAAATATTTCTTCTCTTTCAAGTTTCTCATTTCCTCTTTTTCTCAATTCAACTCAACTTTCTCAACTCTCGATAGTAGCTGGCTTAAACCTACTGGTGTGACAGGTGACAAGACATTATGAGCTGTTGTAATGCTGCGACTGGTATCTTCGAGAGTACCTCCTATTAAAATCATACAGACCAGACATGCTAAGGTTGGGGTACTAGCACAGACACGGATCAAAATCATAGCCTGATATGCCACAGAGACAAAACGCTGGATAGCAAGCGAACTAAAGTAGGGTGCCACCTTCCGGGGCTTTTCGTTTGTTGTAAGATCAGACGTGCAAGATTTGATCGGTTAAAACCAAATGCCTAGGGTTCCCTCTGAGTGCCTCAGAAATCTGTGCAAAGTAGGCGCTCCAGCGCGAGAAGTCTCGATGTGCGCCTTACACCACCTTTTAAGAATGTTTTCTGTTTGCTCATCTTTTCCAACCCAAATGTTCCATACTGTTTGCAATGCATCAGTCCGTCAAAAACCTGTGTAACAAATGCTACGGAAGCTTTAAGGACTCTACATTGGGAAAATATACAACAATGTGACAACATGACAGTCCAGCGTGCCTGAGCAGGTTAACAGATGGGGCCCCGACAAGTGTGTATGGCCCTCCATTCAAATAGAAAGTACCCAAGACCCAAGTTGGAGGACCCAAACGACCGAGTCTGCCCCAGCAGGTTAACAGATGGGCCCCGACAAGAGCTTAGGGCCCTAATCAAGTGACGGAATTGGAAGCGCCCTAGACCAATTGTAGAGTTTATGTTGCATCGTCATGAGCATATCGTCGAAAATAAGAATGTTAACCGAAACCAACGTAAAGGGCCATTGGGCAATTGAGAATACCCTGGCACAACAAGATATGAGGGCCCTGGCTATAGCTCACAGAGCCTTTCTGGAGAATGGAAGGAATCCGTGGAAGGCCCCTGATTGACAAGAGCACCCCGCCGCGCTAGTAGTAAGGCCTCAGGAACAGTGCAAGGCCCCGCGAGCAAATGCAAAGAAATAAAGGGCAACGTGTAAGGCTCCTCAACGATCGGAACGACTTTTCAAGTGGGCATATATGCCCCTAGAAAGAGCGTAGGGCCCCTGGGCGGTTTAATAAGGCTTAAAAT